GGCTGGGGCTGCGGAGAGTTAAGCTCCGCGCGCCTCTGGGAGGGGCCTCCGCAGCGCTGAGCGGGCATCGCCCTCCGCGCCCTCGGGACAGCCTGCTCGGCTCTCGCTGTCCCGCAAGTCACAAGGGAAAAAAGAGTAGAAAATAAGGGCGGCCTCGGCGGAGCGGAGCTGACCTCGTGTGCTCTCTTATTCTGGGAGGAGAGTTTTTTTCCTTTTTTCATCCTTTTCTTTTCCTTTTTTTTTTCTTTTTTTTTACTTTATTTTACTTTTCCTTTTCTTTTTCTTTTTTCTTTTTGTTTTCTTTCTTTCTCTCTCTCTCTTTTTTTTTTTGGTTATTATTTTTACTCTCACTCCGGCTGCTCCCGCGGTATCTCCTCTGTGACCCCGCTGCCGCACTGCGCGGACGGGGCAGGGGCAGCCGCGCTCCCGGGGCTCCCCGGCTCCCCCAGCACCGTCCTGGCGCCTGCCCGGCCAACCTGGGCGCTAAGCAGGGGCAGGGGCGCAGCCAGCAGCCTTGGGGCTCCCCCGGGCGCCGGTGGCTCCCGTGCTTCCCGCAGCGTCTCCCGCCGCCGGACACGCAGAGCCGGTGTCCCGCTCCCCCAGAAGCGCTTACTCCCACGGGCGGGCGCCCGTGGACGGTCACCCCGAGGGGCAAACAGAGCCCTGGAGGTCGCTGCAGACACTAACCCAAACGGTGGGACTCGAAAATAAAGTGGAGGCTGTCGGGGTTGGACCATGGGCAGACTCCGCAGCTGCTCCTGCCTCTTTTGAGGGCGATTCCCAAAAGCGCTGGGTATTTGTGCACGAAGCTGCGAGTTCGCTCTGCTATCGATCAAGCTACTCGGGGGGAAATTCAGAGCTCCCACTTAATAAAGACTGGTCTTTCCCGCCCCCCTCTCTAACGCACGGGACCTTCATGGTTTCACGGGCTGCTCTTTTGCTCTTCAAAAGTCTAAAGCTGCCAAAGCAGTCGCCCCATAGGGCATCAGCTTGCTGGCTGGTAGGTAATAAAAAGTTTTACTTCATACCTTAAGGTTGAAGGGATAAATCATTTCAAGCGCATTTTAGAAGTTTGAAAAACTGCAAGAAAGACACGTCATTCTAATAAATAATCCCCGTGGTTGCTCAGCTGAAAATAAGGTGAGCTAACATAAGCAATATTGTGATCTAAAATGAGCCACGTGTTTCCAGGAGGATTTAATGCGAAAAAAAATCTCTCTCCAAGCAAACCAACCAAACCGGTGATGTGTTGTTCTTTACAAATAAATAAGACAAATTAAATCAGATTGGTGAGAAGGTCGTTTGTCACAGAAAATATTTTGGTAAATTATCACCATGTGTACTTGAGAGGGGAACAGCTGTTAAACACATTTCTTTATACTTATTTCTGTTCTTAAGTTAAATAAAAAAATAAACAAGCGATGATGAATTACTTCCAGAGTTAAAAAAGAAAAAAGAAAAAGAAAAAAAGGAGGGAAAAAAGCAGATGTGACGATTACAGATAAATTCATTTATCTGTATAATTAAGTCTAATGTTCGGGTAAGCGCAGCAGTCAAGCACACCCTGAGCACCTCCAAAGCCGGCGGTTACACTTCTTTCCCTGATGCCGAGAGTCAGCTCACAGAGTTATTAGTACTAATGAGGAATAAACACCATGCAAATACGCGCTACGGAAATGTCACCGCTTCTCGCAAAAGTACTGAGGACGGAAAATCATTTATGGAAATGACGTAGCTGTGAGACTTTGCCTACTGCTTGGGTGCTCATTAATAGGAAACCTGTTCCCTTGAGCGGCTCGTGCTGGTGACCACTGTCCTACCGCTCAGTTCAGCTCGAGAAATGAACCAGGCGCTGGGGGGAGAAAGAAGTCAACTGTTCTGTAATATAGCAATATTTCTGGCTGCAGGGGGGCGTGTTGGGGCTCAGCTTTTGGT